TGTACGTTAATGTAACTCATTATCAGTCTCGCTCTCCGTCCCCCTTAGTAAGTCGAAATAATAAGTGTTAATTATACTAATGAGAACCTAAAAGAAATTGTTATTTAACGGTGTTGGCTTGTATTACTTACTCCGTGTATAATGGTATACGGGTATCTGTAGCCATAGTCTAGTAAGTACCTATCATATTAACTTCATTATTTCCGTGCCCCGTTGAATTTATGGATTTAATAATTTAATAATTGTCTTGGGCGGAATAGAAATTAATTTATTCGTATTATTTATAATGCCGGAATCCTATGGAAAATGCCTGATTGTTTGCTCTACACTTTTGTCGGTACCTATACAATATTACCCATAATATGTGGGTGTATATTATACAGTCTATATATGCTAATTTTAAATGGCGCAGTTGTTCAAATATATTACAAGTAGATATACCATGCACAGAGTTTGAAACTAGAGTTTGTCAATTATCGTGGATAACGGTGTGTGTTTTCGAAAAAATAAAATATAAACGATTCTGTATTAGCAAGATTTGAAAATGCAATGAGCAAATTTACAGAGAAACGTTCAATGTACACAATTATTTTATTTTGTATCTATGTGCACTTTAATGTTTCAAGATTTCAATCGCGATTCAATTTCATTTTTTTTTTTTTAGACGCATAATTTTATTGTTCATGAAAAATGCTACCTAGTCGTATATTCGTATCTTTTCAAACATCGAAAACCAATTATTGTTATTTGTCTTAAACACAATATTATACTTATCTGTACACGGACAATAATGTAATATAAATGTAAAGCTTTGTGTATTAGATTATCATTAAAATAACACACAGTTAATCTTTGTTTGTACTTAAGTCAGTTTGTCATGATACTATGATAACGAAGTACAACCACTGTGACTATAATCTCGGTTCACCTATCTGTAGCCCTTTCTCAAGTGATATCCATAGCGATAACGTCGCGTGACATGGTCGTTGAAAGCCAAAGGATGTCATCAATGATTGCAAATATGTCAAATATGCTTCATGAGTTCTTTTGTGTTGATGACATAATATTGGATTTTGCATTATCATAATATTCTATAATAATAATAAATATATGGGTTCCTATATTAAATTATATGTACCTAAAGTAATACCACTGTGGTTAATAACAGTAAAAATTACAATCATGAAAAAAAAAAATGTATTTTAATATTCAGTGTCATTGGCTGTCAGTTTCCTACAAACGTCTTATATTCTTATTGATTTCAATTTTGCGTCGAAGTCAAGTTTAAAATATATTTTATGCTACATTACCCAACTACCTTTGAAAAAATAAACTTTTGGTGGTTAAGAATTAAAACGATTTCGCGATTGCATTGAAAGAGTTGTGACTTACGTGTTGCAAGTAATTGACTTTGAGAACTGAGTGTTCAAAGGAAGTTATTGTCACACGTTTGCTCCGAAACGGATATAAAACATTGTCTTATAAAATCTATTTATATATTTGTTGAAGTGCTAGTTGAGTTAACTATGTGTAGGGTGCTCTAGGAATGATCATCAGAGAGACGTTTGCTTGTTTCCTGTAAACGTCTAGAATTTCGGTTTAAAATATGTTTAAAACATTTCAGTATTTGCTCATGTACAATGTACATTTTACATAAACCATTTCTTCTGATCGTATCGTTTAGGAAAATATGTGATCAAAATATTTCCCTTCAGTTGAAAAAAAATATAATTGCCTAAAATATTACTCAGTAATTGTTTTAAAAAAAATTAATAATATATAATAATATAATATAAATTACATACGTACTTACTCACTATTAGATAGTTTTATACCAATTTCGTAAAAATATTTTCTCATACAAATAGTCATTGCTGGAAATTTTTTTTTAATTTAACATAAGTAGCTACAGAAATACCCATACATACCAGGTTACACCTTTTTTAATAATATTTAAATGCTAACTATGCGGATAATATATTATTTTGATGACATTTCATGACGTGTATCCTATGACCCATATTCGCACACATTATAGACATATGCGTATACTTGTGATATTGTTACCATAACCATAGAGCGTATTAACAAAAACCGAGCAAAAACAACTATCTACTATAAGTCCGTATATATATATATGTATATATAACTTCTAAAAACGCCACAATTGTCATTTCCATCATAATGACATGACATGGCGAATCCTACATTTGTCGTCCAAGTCATCCAATTAAAAAAAGTATAATTTAATTTATTTTTTGTTGTACATAAAACCCATAATATGTTAACTATATAACAGGTATAACCTAACCTATATACTAAAATGTAAATAGTGTCACGTTTGTCTCCGAACCTTCCAAAATAAATTTTATTTATATATGTTGATTACATATATAAAGTACATTATATAGTATTCATTTACATTATATACCTATTGTATTACTCGTGTATACGAGTATAAACAAAATTAATTATATTTTCAATCTCTTTATCAAACGGGTTTAAATTGTTATTTGTTTAATTTATTTTTGAAACTTGAGATTACATATGCCTTTTTCTGGATGAATAGTTACATAATAAATTATCTCACTATGATATACCTTAAATTCGATATTGAATTTGCAATTTAGACTTAAAACATCTCAAGTTATATTATTAGGTTTTAGTTTTTTAACGTCACTAATTTCATTTAAATTACAAGTTTTTAAATATTGGGTTTCAATTTTATTGAAAAATATTTTTTAATATGATCTATAACTTAATATGTTATTACGGTTAAATGTTTTTCATATATTATATTAAAAATAGTCTTATGGTTTTTTCGATAAAATTGTACTATAATGTTATCGTAACAGTAATGACTCATTGGCATTCTGGCAAATTTTATCCATCATTTGTATGACTTTATGTATCACAAATTCATAACTATTGTGATTAATTTAATTTGACTAATTTAAGATAGCATATTAGTCATAAGGATATTAAAATATTAAATAAATAACAACTGTTGTATTCCCATTTAATATTCTTATTTGTCTTAGAAAAACGATAAATTATAATATTTTGACATAATAGAAAGTAAAAAAAAAATGAAAATAAAAAAATAATTAAAAATGTATTTAAAGTTAGTAAAATTTAATGCTATGAATATGATATTTTATAAATACTATTATACATACTAAATTAAAAATTAGAATTATTTAGTATGATTACTATGGAGTTATGCATTGTCGTGTTGATATATTACTAAAAAATGATAAAATACAATTGATTTAAAAAAATAAATAATGTATAAAATATATGATTAATGTGTATATATATAATATATATATATTCTATTCTACGTTTCTAATTTATATAGTTAGTGGTTACTTAGGTTAGCATATATCATCAATTTACGTCATTATTTTAGCACACCGAAATATAAAATATTATAATAAAAATATTTTAAAAGCAAATTATTGAATTTTTGATATCATTATAAATATTATAGATAAGTGCTCTCTGTTGGTAGTAGAAATTTATCTTAAAAAATCATCTCAATAAAAAATAACTAATGCATACTAAAATTAATTTTTTTATTTATTTAATTTAATTTATCTTCTGTTATTACCCATTCGTTAAAAACACGTAATTATCATGGATATTTGAACGTTTTATAAATTCTATGTATAAATTTTATGAAAGTCAGATAATTAAATTTAATGTATGATAAAAAAAATATATATATTTTAATTTATTTATATTTAAATTCATATTTGTAGAATTAATAATTCGATTTCATTCAATTATTAAGATTATTAATAATATTTGTATAATTTTTTCGAACTCAAAAAAGCATAAAAACTTAAATTAATAAAATAACTTTTTATCTGAAGTTTATACTAATGTTATATCGAATAATATGTTACGAGCGCAAAAATAAATACTCTAAGCATTACAATTGATATAATTATATAAAATTTCTATTGCTTTATGAATTGTGCAAAAAATATAAATAAGAATATTATTTCTTTCATAAAATAATAATTAAATACTTTTAGTAAGTACCTATCTACTAGCTATGAAAACATTTTTTTTAAATTATGTAACAGTTATTACGAAACATTGTCCATAAAATACTTAAATAATAGTTATTATATACAAGCGAATATTCAAGGTATGTATGTATAAAAGACATTACATCGGAATTTTCAACACTTTTTCTTAGATACTTCCCAATTTAACATCCTGATTATGTCTATAAATAGGTTCAAATACTTTTCATTACGCACATGGGAGTATTAATCAAGCTGCGACTGTATCGTTTTTCATTTCAATTTCAAGTCATTATTATTGACTCAATTATAGAATAAATTAAACGTGACTGTTGTATGAACTGTAAATAAGAAAATACACTTTAGAAATACACAACGATCAGTCATTAAACGAACGGTTAGTTATTTATTGCATGTTATACATGTTCGAGTAATATTTATATATTGTTATTTGTAGTTTCGTGCGTCTGAAAATTGAAATAGCTATTTTGTGTTAAAAAAATTCGTGTGTATATAATAACAATTATGTGTGTTAACACAATCCTTTAATGTTATATTTTGGGTAAAAAAAGATATTTTTTCATACATTTCACTATCTCTCCCGGTAGTACAAAATAATATTTATTAATATATATATAATTTGTATATAAATTTGTGCGGGGAAATTTTCATGTCCGGAAATCGTTTGTATCCTAATGCCATCGACCTTGATCACAGGACGGAAGTATACACATAGTATATACCGTATGCGGTCGTATGTGTGGACTGTAATGTTTGCGTGGTTTATCACAAGAACAATATTCATTTGAATATATTTATAATGACTCTCTGTAATAACATATCATACTTTTGTATTTATACTTTCTCGAATGTTAAAAAAGACTCAAATTAATTGTATAATTTAAAAAAAATTATAAGTGCCTTATAATAATATTTTGGTCAAATTTTGTTTTACTTTTTTAGCGCGCGCAGTTGAGTTGCGGTTATAACACAGCTGGCAGTAACCAAGGTTTAACCAACACGACTTTTGGCGGAAAATCGGGCACGGTACCTGGCCATCACAGTGGCCCGCCCGGTATGACCGGCAACTATGCTAGTGGCGCCCCTACACAATACCATCACAGAGCGACGGCCGGCTGGAACTCGGCTCCCTTACCTGCCCAACAGTATCGATACGGAACCGGTCCAGTAACGCAGACCACCATGTCACCGTACACGTCTTACAATCCCAATCCGACAACTGTAAGTATTTTTTTGTTTTTTTTTTTCTAATTTTAAAAATTTTATCGAACACGAAAATTTTTATACAAACTCCGATAACTATATAATTATATATAGATAGATACTTAAAGAAAATAAATAGTATCACTAGGATATTTACAATTTTTTCAATACTACTATTATCCTCGTTTGATTTCGATAAAACACCCCCTTATTAAAATTCCTTTTCATTTTTAGGTTATATTATAGACCTCAGACTTTAGACAAATAACATACTTTCTTTATCATGAATATCATATCAAAGTTTAAAGTTGAACATTTTTTCAGTTTAGGTACTCATACACTATTCGTACTTTAAAAATTGTATTTTGTATACTTAGACTTTTAAGAATATCAGTTATTTAGTATATAATAATATATGTATAAAATGCCAACACGCCTAAATATTCGTTATATGCTTATTTAAAGAGTGATATAGAATTAAGTATAACTATTTCTGACATTAACACATGTTATTAGTTACCGCCTACTTCAGTTATAAATTAAAGTTATTAGTATCCAAGGACAAGTCCAGTGTTAATAAGTTGGAACTGAGCTTAAAATGCATTTTAAGAATATTCCGCGATTTGCGTGGGATTAAAAAAAAATGTTGAGGTTGGTTAGTATCAATGGCATTTTTATTTTTCGTTAGTTGTACTATAATAAATATTTCATATTTTGGTATATATTCGAATAACTGATATAAATATCATTTGAATACAAATCTAAAAATAAATAATACTAATTTTTAATATGCTGTTTCAATCACAATATTACATTGAATTATAAATGCAATCAAATGTTTTTTTCTTAAAAAGATACCATTAATAATTATATTCTGTATATTCACAAACACTGTTTAATGTGTTGTAATAAATAATTGCAGCATACTTGTCTTTCGTACGTAATTATATTTTATATTGACAGACAAATTTGCACAAAACCAAACAGTATTTGTTTATTATTATTATTATTATTATTCTATTTTATGTACAGTATGTTGAAGTATATGTCAGCACTCACCATAATATAATCACAAATATTTATAATCCATTTCTAATGTTTATTTTCCACTATCGCACCATCACATTGCAATAATTGCATAAAAAGATTATTGTATAGTTGAGTACCACATTTTTTTCTGAATATATATTTTTGTCTATACTCTAAAGTGCTGCGATAAGATAAACGATCACGAGTCTAGCAAGTCATACCCGAAACGAAAATGCACGTATAAGATGCATTGCAAAACTTTGTAGGACGGCGAGTAAAATTGTATTTCTCGAAAAGACCATATAATATTAGATTGTAAGCAGTGCGCCCGTACTATATTGTGTGCGCTAAAAAGTTATTCGAAACGCGAATTGAATTGTAACGATAAAACATAAAACCGTCGCCGCTTATGAAGATCTGAAATCGTCCATTAAAAGCAATCCTCACGTCCGATGTGTGTAAAAATTATTTTGCATATTCATTTGAATAATTTATTGTACAATTTACGATGTGCTGTCGCACCATTGCAGTGCCAAGACGATAGTATTATACTTTATATATTATGTAAGCATATACATATGCAATACGTATGTATAGCGTTGTATTCTTCTTTGTCGTTTTTCGACATTTATTCCGTGAGAGTATTTTTTTTCTTTACTCATTAAATATATGTTTTTATTTCTTGTAGACGAATTCACTTTCTTTGTCACAAATATATGGAGACGTATTTTACATTTTATATAACTTTGAACTAAAATCGTGAAATAACATTTATATCCTATGACCTATCTTATATACCATATGCATATAGCATATACCAATTTATGAGATAAATTTAGGGTCTTCGAAATTGTGTGTGATAGAAATAGTGGATTTTGTGTAAGAACCTGCATCATAATCTATTTATTTCGTCATACTAAATTTGGCAGACCCTGTTTTATTATATTATACGCGAGTGTGGTAGTAGTTTTTGAAACAAACAATAAATAAAATATTCACGATAAAATTATCAATTTTTGAGTTGTGTTTTCTAGTTGATGTATGTAACCTATCTTTTTAATTTCAACATACTGAAATTACACCGAACTGTAATGTCAACCGTGACACGGATTTAAAATGGCTTTTGTCCAAGCCTTTGTTAAAAAATTCGGCCTTGAGCTTTTTTCTCCCTCCACCACTCGATAGTGTCATTAAATAAAATGTGTAGGTCCGTTATCAACTACTACATAAAATGCAACTGCAATATAAGCTTTAATTGCATTTTCCTTCTATTTTGAATGAATTATAACTCAAGGCTGGCGGCTTTTATACATAACGCTCCTTCCTCTCCCAACTATATACTTTATAACCTCTATATTATTTTTCTCTAAACTTAATTTAAACATTTATTCATATTTGCTTTTTACACATAAAATTTACAACTTAAATTCGCACAACTATTTCGATGTACATTAGTTTAAGTTTCATGTTTTAGGTATACATATACTTTAAATATGCCAATATGCCATCGTATTTATAGTGTGTCAATTCATTTTTTCAAAATTTGAATAATTTATTAATCTATAAACACGAAAAAAAATTCAATTCTTGTTTGCAAATTACCAATAGAAATGCGCTTATGATTTTTAAGACTAATTTTTCTAACCTTCAAAAGCAATAAAACTGGTTAACTAGAACGTACTAGGATTTTCAACTCTCGCCTTTTCGCCTCTGTTAATTTTTACATTTTAATATTTTATTTACATTTACGGTATTAACACCACGTATTATATTCTTTCAGCAAACGATTAATTGTACAATTATTGCATAAACTGTATTACATCGATCTCTATAAACAATGAATTCTGTTTACTTAATATTGTTCTGTAATAATGTAATAAATAATTAGTAAATAATTTGTAAATAATTAGTTTTGACACATACTTTAATTTCGATTTTCCTGTTTTAATATGTTTAAAATGAGTGAGTACCTACGTAATATATATAGTATTAATTAGTAGGTAGTACTTATTAAAATATTATTCATATTAAATTGATATTATAAATTATATTTATTTTTATCAAATAGTTTCATTACACTTATATAATTGAAGTATGGTAATATTTTATACGAATAATAATAATAATAATGAGTAATATGTACTTGTATTATACATATATATTAAACTCAATAATTGCTAAATCCTCGAATTCATTTTCTGGAAAGCGATTTTATGTTGTCAAGTTATATATCTATATATATATATATATGTGTATGTTCCTGTTTTTCTTTGATTAATCCGTTATAGGCATTAGATACATTACTTCGAAACCAAAACGGGTAAAACTTTTCAAACTCATCTAATACCACAATATACAAAATTATTGTATCGTGAACCTCCGTCGCCGCCGATTTAGTTGTTAGAATTTCGGAGTGGAGCGCATTATGGGTACTTACATAATATAACAACACAGATGTCGAATATACGAACTGGGACAAGCCGCTAGTTAAAGCTAGTTTTGCACTTACATAAAAATAACCGTTGGTACCTATTTACAATATTATTAATATATGTCTCGGAAAGAGCGTTCATTTCGTTAGGATAACGATTTTATATTTTGAATATTATGTTCCGAAATTTCATCTAAAGTCTAATTAGCAAACGTCTAACCGAAATGATTAATATTATACATGATATATTTATACCTAACCCTCTGAAAACTTCTGAGTCTGTTCAAAAACTTATGAAGATTCGCGTTCAAACGCTTTAGTTTTCACGTCATACACATACCTACACAGTACACAAATGATTATTACATAAAGTTAGATATACATAATATATATTATATTTATGTTTTGCGATGAATTTGGTCGTACTCAATACTCGCGTGTCACAGTCGCCGCCTCGGTGTAGTCTTATAAATACTATTGCGAGCTCCGAAGGTGAACCTGTTTATTACGTAAATATGTATTTTAGATACACTATACTTATCGTATTCGCGTAATACTGTGTCAAACCGAAACACACGCTCAAGAGTCGTTCAGCATAGTTATATTATTATTTCGGTTACTGCAGCAAGTAGGCATGTCGATGAAATCTAAGTGCAAAAGGTGGCTCGCGAGTGCGCAGTGGAGGATAACATTTCACCTATGAAAAAAACACTACACACATGCGCGAGCGTGACTTTATTATACGAAATGTTTACGGGATATCAAATTTTTTTTTTGACCCTAGACTCTTCTATTGTATACGAATTTATATATTGGGTGATCATTTATACGGCCACACTATATTTCTAAAAAATTTACGTATTTAAAAAGATAATTATAGTTTTTTGGCATATAGAATATATAATACTCTATAATACTGTTGATTTTATAATATACTATATACTATATATAGTAGTTTAATATAGTTTAGAATTATTTCTAAATACACGTATTATACATATTTATATAAAATATTGTTTCTAATTTTTATTTTTTAAATTTTTCATACATTAGTCTAATCTTGTTTAAATTTTAAACTCCATAATCAGGAGCCAAATACTTTTTTTTTAATGTTTATACTTAATATTATATTGAATAAATAATTTTTCTTATTAATAATAGCATTTAAAGATTAAGTAGTTCAGTAGAGTAACGGACCAGAACTTTTATGAGGTATCTTTTTCCATTTTATTCTTGTTATGTAAGCATATTAACAAAAAAATGTTTAGTGTTAGATATTTACATTAAAATGTTTAAAAAAGTATTTTGTTGCTTCTGATCGTATAACTAAAAATATAAGTTGTTAAAAAAAAAAACCATTATAATTTCTTCAGTAACATATATAAAATGTGAAGTGTTATAATTTATAAATAATTCATTGTACTTCAATAAAAAAACTTTTTTCAAATATAAAACTAATTCCTTAGTAAAGTAATGTATAGATTCATATAAACTATACACCCTGTAGAAGGTACATATCGTGCGCAGTGACCGGTCTATGTTTTTTCCCCAATTTTTC